TGCTTGCTGTGTGGGTCTCCTTTTTGGGGTGGTGGTTCCAATTGTGAATGCAGTAAATGTCATTAAATGGGAAGTCATTTTTCCTTTTGGCAAGAGAAAATAACCAAACTTCACACATACACCCGTATGGGAACCCCACGTACATGAGAGAGTCAGGGACCCACAGGCAGGAGAAGTTCCATTAAATGGTAAATCTTTCGTTTTGTGCATTTCACAGTAAAGCAAATGAATGGAGGCATTATCGCGGGCGTGCGGGCCGGGGGCGGGTGACTGGAGCGTTGGTGTGCCTTGGCATCCGTGGGCATTGTTCCAGGACACCCTGCAGATACCCAAGTCCAGAAGCTCAAGTCCTTTATAGAAAAGGGTATAGTGATGTGTATTGGGACTGTGTGCTGAGATCCTGTCAGAAGGTATTAAAGACCCAAAGGTGCCCTAGCTGGTTTGGCTCAGTGGATAGAGCGTCGGCCTGTGGACTGAAAGGTCCTGGGTTCGATTCCCGTCAAGGGCACATGCCTGGGTTTCGGGCTCTATCCCCAGTCGGGGGCGTGCAGGAGGCGGCCGGTCAATGATTCTCTCTCATCATGGATGTTTCCATCTCTCTCTCCCTCTCCCTTCCTTTCTGAAATCAATAACAATTTTTTTAAAGAAGAAATAAGCTAGCTACAGAGTTCATGTCCAGGTTTGCTTGTTTTTGTTTTTGTTTTTCCATATATTTTTATTGATTTTAGAGAGGAAAGGAGAGGGAGAGATAGAAACATCAATGATGAGAGGGAATCATTGATCCAATGCCTCCTGCAGGCCTCCCACTGGGGATGGAGCCCACAACCCAGGCAGGTGTCCTGACCAGGAATCGAACCTGGGACCCTTCAGTTCGCAGGCCGACACTCTATCCACTGAGCCAAACCAGCTAGGGAAAGGTTTGTTTGTTTGTTTTAAGTATTTTTTATAGATTTCAGAGAGGAAAAGAGAAAGAGAAACATCAATAATGAGAGAAAATCATTGATTGGCTGCCTCCTACATGCCCCCCCACTGGGATTGAGCCTGCAACCCAAGCATGTGCCCTGACCAGGAATCAAACCGTGACCTCCTGGTTAATAGGTCGACGCTCAACCGCTGAGCCACGCCAGCTGGGCTCCTGTCCAGGTTTTATGCACTTGTAGAACAATGGGAAGTGTCTTTTTGCTGATGGGTGACTTTCCATTTGGTTAACATCTCTGCCAGTTTAGTTTCTGGGCAGATTTCAAGCACTGTTTCCCCAACCCTTATTTTTTGGTTAATCCTCACCCAAGGATATTTTTTCCATTGATTTTTAGAGAGAATAAAAGGGAGGGAGAGAGGGGGAGAGAGAGAGAGAGACAGAGAGAGAGAGAAACAATGGTGTGAGAGGCACACATAGACTGGTTGCCTCTCCACGCGCCCTGACCACGCCCGGGATTGAACCTGCCGCCCAGATACATGCCCTTGGCAGGGAATCGAACCCGAGACCCTTTCCTGTGTGGGCCGACAGTCTAACCATTGAGCAACACCAGCCAGGGCCATTTGCTGATTCTTGCCTGTGCCCTGACCCAGAATGAAACCCACAACCTTAGTGTATCTGGGCGACACTCTGAACAGCTGAGCGACCCGGCTAGGCCCCCCTTTTGCGTGAAGGGAGTCATCTGGCAGCAGTGGAATCTGAGTGTCCATTTCGCTTTGCATGTGCTGTGCCCGTTCAGTGTCTGATGCATAACTGAATCAATAAATGTAAAAAAAAAAAAAAGAGAGAGAGAGCTTTGGATCTGTAATGTCTTTATACAAAGTTTTTATTTTACTAATAAAACATTGTCCTAAAACAAAAATACTGTTTAAAAAAAAAGAAAGAAAAAAAGAAGTGCAGGGCACTTTAACGGGCCTCTCGGGGGAGGGGTTGCAAGGAGGAACTACTGACAGCGGTGTCTGGAGTCAGCCCAGGAGCAGAAGCCGCTGGAGGCCCGGGGGTAAATGAGGTGAGGGGACCCCGGGAGGGGGGAGGGCCGGGTCCTGGGCTCAGAGGGTGTCTGCTCTCAACTTGGTCCTGACATTCGGGCTGGCCGACACCCTCAACATGAAAAAAACAGGGAGCAACAGAGAAACAGATTTAAAAAAAAAAAAAAAAGGACAAAAAACGTTCAAGACAGGCAGAGACAAACACTCGAAGTCTGGGCCCAGGGCCTGGGGTGTGCCCTGCAGCTGGGGGGCGGGGTGCATATTCCCGAGTCGGGGACGTCTCCGGACAGGATGTGAGAGAGGAACTGGGGTCTCCAGTCACGGGAGCGGCTGGGCTGCAGCGGGCAGGGATCCCGGCTGCGGTGAGCGGAGCTGGG